CTCTGTACCATCGGAAAGCCGCATGCTGACTAGATTAATTCTCGTATATAGACTGCCACTAGCACAGCTACCGTGACTGTGGACCCCCGCGGTAAATGCGAGGTCGCCTATGCAACCTCTGGGAACGGGTCAGGAAACCATATCGAGAACGTAAAGGCTAGCGGCCATTTGGATTGCTGTCAAAAGTGCCAGAAGAAGTTAAATTGTGTGGCTAGTGCGTATCTGGGTATAGTTGGGATTTGCCAGCACTTGGTCAACGTGAAGACGGTGCCATATGAAACAGTTACCGCCATGTGTCCGTTGGGTTTGGAGAATTATAGTTTTGGGAAGCCAAGCTCGAAGGGAATTGTGTACCCTGGTCCTTGCGGATTCTAGGTTCCGTCGGCAGTTAATGCTAAGGCTTGTGAGGAATGCGTCTTAGGTTGTGTTGTTTTGACGAGGCACATGTATTGTGAGCAGTAGTTACATGTATTTGGCTTGATCCCGTTTATAGTTGAGATGGCAATGAAATTTGATTCAGTGGACGCTTATTCTGGTTCTTTGGTCCTGTACACGATCTCAGTCTCGTCCACAGACCCATTCGGGTAGTGGTGGTTGACTATACCAAAGTAGGAGATGATCTCTGAAATCGCGAGTGATAACTTGTGGTTAAGCGATTTTGGTAATCGATTTGTAGATCATGCTATCTCGTAATCACATCTACGTGTAGCCGTGACACTGCATTCCGTTCACGCGTGACGTGACGTAACATTCATCAACTTACATCCTCCCGCTGGAAGGATGTAAGCAGGGGCCGGGCTGGGGCCTAGCGTTACGTTTACTACATGTAGGTACCTGGTATGTGCGTGTAAGTACAGTACCAAAAAAGCGGGTGGATCCAGTACCATATCTGACAAAATACCGTAGGGTTACGGTATTGTTACGGTATTTCTACGGTATAATAGTTAGGATTCCGATTTAATTCGGAAGTTTTGCACAATTCCGTATTGGTACAGTACCTATTACATCCTCTTTTTTCGTACTGTACATGTACATGCACTGTAAATACATGTAATTTACTTGTATTGGGTACATGTATATTCATCTAGGAATATACATGTATGTACTCAACATGTTTAATCTATGTCTATGGAGTATATTAAAATAAGTTCTAGTAATCTCTCGGCATCAAGGCGAACCTACCCAGCTACACCATACAACGTGCAACATCACCAGTTTCCTTGGATGACATTGATCGCGATTTAATTATTCCTCGAGTAGCACATTAAGACACAAATTCAACCACAAACCATGAAACAGCATACTGTCACGCGACTCTTGTCACACCACTACAAATCCTCTCTGGGAGAACCCTTGTTTAAAATTGTTCCTGGTTATCGTTCAAAATGTCGCAACCTGACTGTTACTAATCTGGACTGACAGCAGACAATAGGGAATTTACGGGACGATCAAACAATAGCCCGAAGAGATAAGTACATCCATACATACATATGCACCTCCAATATTTACCTCCCCCTTTTCCCCCGGCAAGTCCCGATATCTAGGAGACTTGCCATAGCAACGACCCAACGATTGGTTACCTTAGTCTACAGTGTTAACTTACATACATTCCTTCATAGGAGCTATCAATAAATAAAATGCTGATCGAGCTTCCAAACCCATCTCCTTTTCGCTTTTCAGCTTTCCCATTCATACATGTACCTTACACGATCTTTTAAGTATACCTACAGCCCAAATAATAGGTATGTATGTAGTCAACGAGCCCTCTTTTCAGATGACCTACTTCTAAACCCTTTTCTGATTAGATCTCAAGAGCTCTAGCTAACGCATCATAAACAACACCTATCTAGTTAGATCCCTTCCAAGCACCAATTACGAACTACCCTAACAATGCCGTTCCTCGATCTACCTAACGAGCTTATACAATCCCTCTCCTCCGAACTTAATTCCAAAGACTTATCCCATCTAATACGCACCTGCCACGATCTTCACTCAATTCTCACACCACTCCTCCACCGCCTCGCCCACGAAAAGCGAGGATACGAGCTCGACGCCCTCCAATGGGCAGCCTCCAAGGGTCATGAGCCACTAGTCCGGCTCCTCATCTCTCACGGCAGCGATATTAATGTCGGCTGTGGTCAACGCTATGGTACAGCGCTCCACATAGCTGCGCGTAACAACAATGAAAACATCAGTGAATTGCTTGTTAAGCTTGGCGCTGATGTTGGGGTAAAATGCAACAGCGGGAGAACTCCACTGCACTGGGCGGCATATAGTGGGAGTACAAGAGTGTGTGAACTGCTGCTTGAGAGGGGTGCAGATCTATCCTGTGTGGACATCAACGGCGCGTCAGCACTCTCGGATGCCGTATCACAGGGACAAGACGATGTTGTTAGACTTTTATTAGAAAAAGGTGCAGACATTACTACAGCAACAGCCGGGCAGAATATCGGTGGTACGAGCGCACTTCACCAGGCTGCTTATTATGGGTATGAAGCTGTAATAAAAACGTTGATGTCGCATGGTGCGAACATTCACGTTGAAAATGCACTTGGCGCGAGGCCGCTCCACTGTGCAGCTAGTAACTGCGCAGTTGGGGTTGCAGAGATGCTGCTCGATGGCGGCGAAGATATAAACTCAGAGACCTTGGTGGGCTATACACCGCTTCACCTGGCGGCAGAGAGCGGTGATGTGAAGATGATCACGTTACTGGTAAATAAAGGGGCAAAAATCGATGCAAGAGAGCGTACTGGAAAGACCCCACTACATTTGGCAGCGGGAAATTGGCGCCCAGATGCGGTAAGGATGCTTTTGAGAAGAGGAGCCGACTATTTGGCACGGGATGTGCACAAACAAACGGCATTGGATGTTGCGAAGGGCGCGGATATGATTGATGACAATCGCCTTGCGGTGGACATGTTGCGAAGTAAGATGGTGCGATGAGAGATTCTTTTTATTGGATTGCGGGGTTATTTAGACATGCATTAGATTTGTGGGATTTGGATTTCATTCTTCCTATTGTTGTAATAGATTATGCATTGTAATACTTCATGAGTACATAGTTTATCTCCACTCATCGATTTGTAGTAAAGTTTATAATTATCTTAATATTGCACTGAACTCTCCACAATCCACCCATTAATCTCGCGGATTCGTTGCCCAGTTGATCATGAAAATACATGTACCGAAATGAATCGAAGAGATCAATGGTACGATCGAATAGGAACATGTACATCAGTATATATATGTATATATTCGAGTTCCGGCGGATAATCCTGGGTTAGATAGCATACTGTCGGTTCAGTACTGCATTTGTGACCAGTTATATACACGCCCAGAATGAGGGAAGGCACTATACTTAGAAATACATAGTCAGTGTTAAGAGTTTGGATGTTTGGGTTCTTCTAACTACTTTTGTCAATTGGAGGTCAAATAGCGCAAATGGTCAACGTGAAGGCCGGAGAAAAAAGAAATGGGTATGGAAGATAAAGAGCCAAATTCTGCTGGCTCGACTAACCATGCATGTATAAAGTATCATACTTCAGTACTATATGTATATATCTTACTCTGGTATCTATAGATCTAGATTTAACGGCACCATCTGCACTAGTATCTAGATCTGTCCGGATAGTATGTAACCCGATATTAACTGTATACCAGGAATTTTATGTGTAGGTGCATGTACATCTATATATGATCTGAGCACTTATGTAGATTACTACATGTAGTATATGTAGCCCCTCGGATCTTCCACAGGACTAGATGTAATTCTCCTTTAATTTTTCTTTGGAATGCATGCTACATTATATCCATAAGCCTTAGACAGTTAATCTAGAAGATGTTAAAACTACATGTACATGTATATGCTTCTGAGCTCTCGATGTATTTTGATCTCTCCTTTGGTGACATGTACTCATGGCACGGCGCTAGATATCTTTATAGATTTAATGGGAGAGTCAATTAACGTACCATACCCGTGGCCGGAAAAGCATCCAACCTAGCGCATAACCACGTGCATATAATTCCAATTCTGAGTAGTCGTCTAAGCTAAGGGATATGCCTACATGCACATACGTATCAAGGTAAATTAAAACCAAAATAGCCACATTAGTACAGAGTTTCAAAAATAGAGAGTTTTACTAGCTGCGCCAGTCAGGCAGAAAGTCGGAGTCGACAGCTGGTCGGACAAGAATTCTAGCGGTTTAATTTATGGCGCAAAGATTATAGCTAGCTTGCAAAGGTGTAGCCAATAAGAGCTGTGGAAGCAGGATTTCTGTTTAAGTGCTCGACTTAGATTTATGCGGTAAATCATATACTACAGCACGGAATGTCTCGCAATTGATGGTTGCAGCTATGGTAGTTATACTCGAGCAAAATGGAAATTTTAGGAATGAGAGCGATTAGCTGTAGTCTTGGCGTGGTACCATAAACTGTAGTATTGGCTTGGCAAGTAATAGGTTAGTGTGATAACTAGACCGAGTGATATTGAATGACGCTTACCACCTGGTATTTAAGCAACATTTTCGCTTCCCTCTTCTCCCCTCTCACCCATTCAATGCCATCATCCCAATTAACTCATCTCAACTCTGTCATCTCAACTCTCAACTCAACCAATTCAACTCCATCCCATCAACTCCATCCCATCAACTCCATCCCATCAACTCCATCCCATCAACTCCATCCCATCAACTCCATCCCATCAACTCCATCCCCTCCATCGACTCCATCGACTCCATCGACTCCATCAAACGACTCCACTCAACTATATCATCTCAGTTATAAAGTTTCTCCCCATTCTCTCATCTTTCTACCCAGCACCTCATACCTTCGTCACAGTCCTCTACTTTATTTTGTGTCTCCCTGCCCATCATCATCATCAACTTCCAACATCCATCAACTCTCACCCATAAATCACCCTTATCAACATCTCACGCTCGCGGCGGCATTATTCAACCTCACTTAAACTCGTTTATCCCGTTTTAAGAATACTCTACCTTACTATGAATCAAGAAGCGCCTCGAGAGAATCACCCCTCCCCCAACAACCCTCACCCTAATGAGATCTCTTATCCTCAAGGATGTTACGACCCTCACGAAAGGGTCCTTCAAAAAAACTTTTTGGAGGAGCTTGCTCTGGGTATTGCTACTAAGGATATTAGACGCATTAGATTTGCGTTAGATAACAAACTCGATTCTGCTTTCAGCTGCAAGATTTACGCAGATGATAACCCTTCCTCAGTCTGGGCTGTCGGAGTCCACGACCCGAGCGACGCTTATCTAACAAATATGTCTGGCTGGATTCACGAGAATTGCGAGAAAATAATTTTTCATACCTATGGCTGCAAAATTCCCACCCTACATTTGTTATTAAAACTCTGGTCGCCCCATATCGCCAAGCACTTCCAAACAGCAGTCGGCTCATCATCCAACTCGATTCTGAACGGCAAGGACGAAGAGGGGGTCACCCCACTAATCAAAGCTGCCCAATGTTCGATAGTCGATGCAGTGAAGTTATTACTCAGATTCGGGGCCGATCCAAACCAGAGGTGCAATAAAGGCTTTAACGCTCTGGAACATTCCCGCTATGCATCAAAAAAAATAGAGCGACGAGAAACCGAAAAGTTGGAGGACTCGCACAGTGTTATACATCTTTTATTGGACAGCAGTATTGGAACGGGATACCGTGACCATAAAGGCCGCTCACTATTTCACTTGGCCGTGAAACATGGACATTCATCATTGATCGGTTTTTTAGCTGAGAAGGAGAGGGAAAGTATGGATTGCCCAGACAATGGAAATCAAACACCATTGGAACTTGCTGTTAGGCTTGGTGATCTTGATTCGGTTAGTAACTTGGTCGACTCTGCTGCCGAAACAAAAATCAGGGAGCATTTTAATGATGATGGATACGACCATTCAGAGTATTTTACTCTATTTAAAAATGTTGTTGAACTATTAGAGCGCAAAGGCCCATCGGCAATTTACAAAATACTTCACACTGAATGCACCCGGTACCATTTTAAGTTATCACAAGGGAGCCTAGAGACAGCCCTACGAGCCCAGCCAGCTTACCGAAACCCAGCAAATACTCAGATTCACAATCCCGAATCGATACCCCCATCCAGAGTTGAACGAAAGCAGCACCATCTCTCTCGATCGTTATCTATACCCGGAGTCAACCAGAGCCAGAACGATGATCCCCAGTCGGTATCTGGCGTCGATCAAAGCGAGGACAATGATCCCCAGTCTGTACCTGGAGTCGATCAGAGCCAGGACCTGCACTTTCAAGTAGGATTAGAGAGTAAATTTCAGAGAGATCTCCGAACCTTTCAGCAAAAGAGCCTTGCCAACACTCCCATCGACATGCGTTACTATCTCAAGACAGCTTTGGACGCCAATACTCAGGAAGACTTCGAAGATTTGGCCGCAAGGAGCATTTGTTTCTGCTCAGACTCGTTTACAAGAGCAGGATTTTTTCATTCTGTAACTATGTTTTTCTGTCCATGGGACTCCGAGGATCGCAAAAGGTCTTATGAACGCCTTGAAGCCATATTCCATAATTATTCTCTGGAATGTCAAGATCGCATAAATCTTCATGGGTCCGCGTCGTGTCCTCAGAGTGATTTTTATACACCTCCGTTTGGAGTCATAGATAATGAACTCATCCGACGCCAAGGTATCTTGAGGAAAGGTATACTCTCCAAAGACCAGGAGGATCTCGAGAAAATCATAGCAAATTCTTGTGATCACTATGATTCTATATCAAGGCAAGAGTACTTTAAATCTGCAGCGTTGTTTTTCCACCCGTGGGTACACAAAAAACAAGAGAACTGCAGAGAAAGGCTGGAACAGTTATTTCAATTTACCCAAAGCTCCTGTCATGATGGCTCACACGGCCCTGTTCTCCACCCCCCCCACGAAAGTGTCCCGCATATTTCAGACGACGATTATGAGCCGCAGCTGGATACACGCCCTGACGAATATCAGCCCTCAGTCATTGCCATCAGTGATCACCAAAGCGAGAGCGATGGAAACGAAAGAAAAATTAAACAAGAGCTCAAGTCAGAACCACAGACGGAAGAACAAGACTATGAATCTGAGGGCGGGCTCGAAGTTAAATGGTATGTTTTCTCCAAAGAAGACTAGTTGATTATATTGAAATTTGAATGCTAACTGGTGGGTCTTGCAGCGAGGAGACGTCGACAGCCACAGAGCGGAGAGGAGACAGTCAGGACGGTGATGGCTCCGGTCGAAGCGATAATCGTGAACAGGATCAATCACCTAGCAGCGCCAATCAAAAACTTCAGTCAAAAAGACGCCATTCAAAGGAGAACAAGGAAAAAAAAGCGAATAAACGCCAGAAAAGACGTCATGCGGGGAAGGACAAGGAAATAAAAGCGAATAAACGCCAGAAAAGACGTCTTTCGGGGGAGGATAAGGAAGTAAAAGTGAATAAAGGCCAAAAGAGACCGCAGGATCTCGGTGTACAGGAACAGGAGCGCAATGATGGAAAGAAGGTTGAGACCTGGAGTGATAGGGCCTGTGGCCAAGGTGGTAATACGCAAAATCTTTCGAGAAAGCGTAAAGGGACAGCTGATGTTGAAGAAAAGCAGAGTATTTCTGCTAAACGTTCCAAAAACTAGCTCCAAACCGATAAAATAATCTTTGTATTTCTTACCTCACATATTTAGATCAGTAGGGATGATAGTTGATATATTATTAATACTGTATTGATTGTACTTCAATCATGATGGAGTACTAGGATTAGAAGAGTGGTTGAATATATAGTAATTAGTTTCTTATATAATTCAGTAGTAAATATAGTTAACACGAAATTTGTTAGTGGACAAACTTCAGATGTAGTCGTTCTACATACTTGTATCGAGAGCTGTAGACTGGCCCTCATCCCCTTCATAGATGATCCAATGCCTGTAGTTCTATTATTATTATTAGTCTGTCTATTCATACTTCCCCTTATCAATGATCCGTAATTCGTGCCATAAATACTTTACGCCTACCTAAAACGCAAAGTTTGAAATTGATGAAAACTTGAGGGTACATGCAACAAACAGTACTCTGATAATCCACGGACTAGAGATCATTTTAATGTTCTAGTATAGTAGGTAATTTAGTAATGTAATATAAACTATCAAATCAAGATTTGTTCTTGGCTTTTAATTTAGTACTTTATGATTTGCTAATCAAGTTGGTGATACTGGACGACTTCCCATAAGCAATAGAGCGCGTTCTATCGCCCAATAGACCTGATTTTGTCTTTCTATCAAATAGAACCCGAGTGTTTAAAAGATGTGATAGAGCACCATCTTTGAGAGGGGGGGGGGGTCTATGGGATAGAACTTTGAGTACTTTCACCTTCTTTCTTCAGTTAGAACAGGGGACTAACTACATGTAGGAAAAATTCACTACTATACCTTATCTGCCCTGGTAAACGAATAGAACAAGTCCGGCGAATAGAAAATCTCACTTGCTTATGGGAGCCCGATCTATCTAAGAACCACCCGCTATTGCAATAGAACACGCTCTATTGCTTACTTGTGGGAAGTCGTCCACTAATGCTATGCACCGAGTACATGTATCTTCCGATTAGACATACTTAGTTCAAAATACGCAGTGACTGGCCACCTTAAACTCGTTATATGAGGTTATCAAAAGTCTGTGATATGGCACTGACTTGATACTTCCCCCCGTTTTCCAATAGACAAGAGTGGCCCAAAATTTCTAAGTTATTGTTAAAAAAAAGAAAGAAAAAGAAAAAGAAAAAAAACGTCCAATATGCGTTATTAATACTAGACTATCTATACAGCTCGATCTCATCCAAAATGGTGTCATGTATCAGATAGTGATGATGGTGGCCGGGTAGTAATATCTTCGAATATAGGATTATATATTAAGAATAATTGCTTTTGAAGACAATCATTTGTTCCATGGGCAGTTCATTGTAATTTATAGAAGATATAAGTAACTACAGAGAAAGATTGCCCTAACAGGGCCTAGAAAACAACGCGCTCCTTATATACGTATTACATCTTTTCCCCTCATCTCAGGTCTCTCAGTCTCCCATTCATCTCTCAACACCGCAAATAATGCATCCGTAACAATGACCGTGACGGCAAGACTCCACACGAGTGTAATAGCGTAGAAAAAGTTCGCGTTACCTGAACCTGCATATATCCACAAATAGTAGAATGCTGGCCCAAGAAGAGTGGCATAGAGTAGGGTCGAGGTTGCGAAGAAGGCGTATCGCATTACTATTATTATGTCAGCGGGCTGGAAGATGATGGTTGAAGGGGAAAGCGTGAAAGGAAAACGTACAAGGGAAGATATGGCGGTAAAGAGCGAGGAGAGATAGATAAAGCGCTGTGTCACCAATCGACGGGTACGATTTAAAGATGCTAAAGATCCCGAGAAGGGTTGTGATTACGAAAAGAGGTTGTTTTCTATAATAAATTTGTTAGGACATTCAGTTAAGATACGGAATGGATCAAGAGAAAGATGGGTGATTACCGGAGTCGTATACATAGACCGCCTACATAAACCGCTAGGTGTAGTTGAAACACGCATAAAAAGAAGTTACGGAAGCTGTCGAACATTTCAATAAAGAAATACCACCACAGGCCTACGTTCGGTGTCAGGTCTGGTAGCAGGAGATGTACCCCATAAGTCGATGCTAAAAACTCCCAGCTGCCACCAGTAATTAGATAGCTTAGTCCCAGTAGTCCTGCCGCAGCAGCTATGAATACACCCGTCATCTTAGCTGCATAAACGCCCAGGCCTCCCTTCGGTACCTTAAGCCCATCGTAGCTCAGCAGTATCATTGGCGGGAGCAGAAGAATTGGGTACAGCGATAGATATGCGCTCATAGCTAAGGCTAATACCGCAGCAGCGCCATGACCCTGGACAGCTTTTGAGATAGCTGTAAGGATGACCGTATTGGTGAAAACGATAGTTGGTCGAGCTAGACAGGTTGCGACAGTAAAGGGGTTGAAGAGGAAAGCAGCGGCGACGGCCCACGGAGGGAATTGGGCATCCTTGCGATTTGATGTTGCGACAGAGATGCCGGAGGTAGAAATATTAATGAGGGCATATGCTGAGAAGACATCTAGTAGTATATAAATGAGGTTTGTAGCTGTCGCGGAGGATGGGAGAGTAGTGAAGAACGCGAGTAGTAGCGGAGCCTAATTAAGAGTCAGCTACGTAGAAGCGATGACAATGCGCAAGGAATAAGTACTTGATGGAAAACTCCGCCATCATATGGCGACACTCCATGGGTGTAGAGAAACAGGCCCTCCTGCAGTCGTTTGAAGCTTGTAACGGGTGTTGAGATCTCGACGCGGTTGGTTAGTAGGTCCGGCAGTGATGGAAAGGCCGCGAACAGAACCAGCCTGAGGGCGACGGCGACAATAACGACTACGAGACTCCGCCGGCCCATAGTTTGAGTTAAAAGGAGTTGAAGTTAACGGGATGAGAAGCTTAAAGGACAGATCTAGAAATCACGAATGAAATTGTGAGCCTCAACTTTAGATCTGATATTAGTCAGCGAGACTGATTTGGTGAAACATTGCCAAGAAAGACGTGGTGCTACCGCTGCACTTAATTAGCTGGGGGTCATCCGGATGGGTTAGAAAGCTATATACATGTATTCATCCATATGGTTCTAGTATATTACTTTAGCTATACATGTGTGCAGAGGTTTGCACTTAGGACAGTGAATGGCGATTGATGAAAAATACTACATGTATCAGGGAATTAAATAAGTGTCAAGGTCTACCAGCGCTCCCGGGATCGATCCCACAAACTGGATTAAAGATACTTTTTATATTGATATACACATATATACTCTGTCGGCTCGGTTATAATATTTTCGATATAACTGAGAAATCAGCCTCTCTTTTGAATTTCTCAGACATCCGTTGGCTTGCAATGATGGTATTTTTTGCACGGTCAGGCCCGACCAAATACACAGTGAACTCTATCCAGGGCGAACCTTTTGATAATGCTGGCCGCTATATGTAACTACATGTAAAGATACGTCTCCTAGAGTAGTTCTAGCATGAGGGTACTATATTCTCTGGGATCGAAATATCATATGCTGTATGCAGCTAGTAGTCGGCCTTTTGATTGAATCTGTAGCTGCCCGTGGAAAGAATACTACTGGATTGATGCTAAATTTAGTATACAATATTAGCACTAGGTGTGGAAGTCGCTCCATATATACGCATACCACAAGCACCGCAAGCTATCGTGTACGTTCTTACCTATTAGGATTGAATCAGGGCGCGCGTAGATCATTTTGGTATTCCTAGGTCCGAGATAACATAGACACAGGTGAGCATTCTCATGTGCAATAAGTGCTACAGGAAGCCAGAACCTAACAGGCTAGGAGTTACAGTTATGGAAGAGTGAGGAATATTCTCCCTCTGGTCGAAATCATTTTATCACATACATATATCTTCTACCTCCGTCAGTGAATCACGAATTCAAACACACGAGCCCTTTCCATTCTGGGTTACTGGAGGAACTACATGTAATATATACCCTTACCTATATATATGGTTTGGTTTTAGTTACAATTTATCTACAAGGTAAAGCCTATTTCAGCCTTTGCGAAAAGCTCCAGTTCAAATTTCCAGTAACCTGATTGGTGGAGATTCTCACATCGGTCAATCAAATAATTGGGATTTTGAGCTGGAGTCTTTTCGTAAAGGCTCAATTTGTACCTCCCTGAACACTTCTATCAGATTAGCAATCACATTAGATCCAGATCTGTCCGCGAATGTAAAATATTAAGTGAAACATGTAAATACATATTATCTTGTGAGTAAAGTCAAGAAATTCGAATGTACGTTTGCACCCAAGATCCGAATGACAGTCCATGATGACATGAAGATTTAGACATCTGAAGCGATTAAATGGCCTCAGAGAAAATGCACCGCGGTCGGATTACGGACAATTTATAGACTGTAAACCCTCTATTATATTTCCACGAGGTAAGTAGTATTTTTTTTGTGGAACAAATAACGTCACGTGACCAAAAACGAATGTGACCTTGAGGAGGTAGAGCTGCTTATTGTCTGATTAATCCTACTCAACCCCATACGAGGTTACGGTGCTTTGCATGAATCCTTGAGATCTCCGTTAAGAAACATAGTATTTGGAATTCAATTCTCGCGATGCTCATCCGCATCCAGTCCGCCCGTCGTATCTGGGCAGGGTCTTTTTTTTACGCCAAGAACATGCAAGCCCCACCTACGGGCCCCTCCAAACTTTCCAAACTTCCCGCAAGGATTTGCACCACCAAACAATTCAGCACCAGCCAAAATACCCGCAACTCGATTATCGCCAAAATGAGTGACAACAACCCTGGCTTTGTCGAACCCACCGACCTTGCCCCGGCCACATGCAAGGTCGTCTCCGCCGCGACTGTCGCGGAGAAACTCCTCCAGGAGGTGAAGAGCTCGCTGCAGAAGTTTGATAGGGCGCCATTGTTGGTGGGGTTTTTGGCAAATAATGACCCGGCTGCGAGGATGTATGCGAATTGGACCGAGAAGACTTGTACACAAAAGTTAGTTGTTCCTGCTAGGTTTAGCGCATTTTAAGTGGAAGGGAAGGTTAATTTTTCTGTGCAATGCAGTGGGTTCAAATTTGAGCTGCGCGAGGTGGACAAGGAGGATCTGGAGGACAGTATTCTTGCAGCAAATGTGGACGACAATGTTGATGGTATCATTGTCTACTTCCCTGTGTTTGGCAATCGCCAGGTGAGCTCCGGCACATCCTCATATCGCAATCCCAAATCTAATATTCTTGCAAGGACCAATACCTCCAGCAGGTGACTGCCATGAACAAAGATGTCGAGGGCCTTTCCCACAAATACCTCTTCAACATGTACCAAAACATCCGCTTCCTGGATGCTGCGCAAACGCAAAAGTCCATCCTCCCGTGCACACCTCTCGCGGTCATCAAGATCCTTGAGCATATTAGAGTCTACAACTCTATCCTCCCGTACGGAAACCGCCTGTTTGGGAAGACCATCACTGTCGTTAACCGCTCCGAGATTGTCGGCCGCCCTTTGGCAGCGCTGTTGGCGAACGATGGTGCGAGCGTGTACAGTGTTGATATCACAGGGATTGAACACTTCACGAGAGGAGAGGGAATCAGGAAGAGGCAGCACCAGGTGCATAGTACTGAGCTGAAGCTCGAGGATGTTGTCCCTAGAAGTGATGTGGTGATCACGGGTGTGCCGAGTAAGGACTATAAGTTCCCAACGCATTTGCTGAAAGAGTGAGCCTCCCTCGTGTAGAAAGCTGCCATAACTCCTGGATTGTGCTAATATGGGTTGGTAGGGGAGCTATTTGCATCAACTTCTCGTCTGAGAAGAACTTTGACCCCAGTGTAAAGGAGAAGGCGTCAATCTACGTCCCTGCCATTGGAAAGGTCACAATCACTGTGCTTCTCAGGAATATTCTTGTAAGTCAACTTTGGGATTCTATCCAGAAACTGATACTAATATACAACTCCACAGAGACTGGCGGAAAACCGCCGTGGTACCAAGCAGGTTGAGGAAGGAAAGTCCGCGTGAGGTGTTTAAAAGTTGGGAATTCGTTTTTATTTTCTTTCGTGGGAGTTGCTGTGCTAAGGATTTATGGTATTTTCATTATAGAGTAAGAGAAGGGGTCTAGAACGTGCATTGCATTACATGATATCACATTTTGTTTCTCGGTTTCTTTTTTTTAACTTCTCTTTTTTTTCTGACTTGATTTTGCTTCGTTTTATTGGCATGGGTCATGGTGCGTCACTCGCTTCTTCCACGTGGATGCAACCATAAAACCATAAAGCTTGGTGATAAGGTCTGTGTGAGATCTCGCTAATAACGAACGCTAGTGATATTAAAGCACTTAGATCTGGCATTAAATTCTTCAAGAAGAGCCACGGAGACCTTCCATGAGGGGCTGAGCTACATGTAGTGTCTGGGTTTATTCTACGGGGAGTCAGGACACATGGCCTCTCTACTAGTAGGTTCGAATGAAGAAAGCCACAGCCTCCTAGTAGTCTAAACGCGGGAACGTAAGGGTGCAATGAGATTACAGACGGGCCATGGAACGTTTATAATTAAATTCAGTTGAACACGTGGCTTTAAAGCTCAGGACGAGGACCGGGCTGGACGGATAGCTAGTAGTAGGAATACAAGGTCGGGAATTTGACACTCGCGACGACTCTCTGAGCTAGTGAAATACCCAGCTTCAAACAATTTTACTTCGTTCTGATGACACCGTTGGCAGGTTTAGGGGTGTACCAAAGAGCTCGGAACTACATACCTGACGGGAAAGCAGCGTCAACATCCTCCCAGTGAGAGCCATAGGCCCTACCACCGATATACATTTGGCTGACGTGGAAGAGCGAGGCTGAGAAGTCTCTTGTTCTCCGGCGTTACCTCGAGTAGCCAGCCGAGCACACGGGTAAGAGGCCAACTCTCATTACAGTAATATCCCGGGCGCGCGGTCAGCTACACATACGTAGAATCTCTTTTTAAGGGATAATTTATCAGGTTGGTCTTCCGATCAAAACATTGAGTTATAAAGATATTTGATCTGAGGAAGCACAGGGCAGAACACACTCAAAATGCCTGATAATCTACGCTTAATTTCGTTGAAATGTACCTCTTGGGCACTAATTGAAAAATAGAAATCTATATAAAGATCGGGCCCGCTAAGGAAGCTTGGAATTCACAACCGCTGCCGGGAGAGAACTAAGGTTAGTGCCTAGAGCTTTTGCCATAGACTCATCCGCCAAGAACCACTGATATTGAATAATATTCCACGAGTGTCAAATTATCCTGAATAACTACAGCTCTTCTTCAAACTATGCGACACATTAGACAACTGGCGTACACCGAAACGTGAAGCCGCGTCATGATAAACGTCTCGAAAAACAGCAAATGATGTCATAGCCCAGTGATTGGATTCATGGGAAATCACTCGGTGGTCTTCTTTTCTTGGCAGGGCGCAAGGCACACTTACAGCTTGGTTTTTTTTTATGAGAAATCTCTTAGATGAAGTGCAGTTCGGCGGGTGCCAGTATCTTACCCTCGCAGGAGGCTGTTCGGGATTTACCCCATGATCTGCATAAGACCTACATCGATGTTGAATCAAAGGGACTTTGGGCACAAAAATTGTAGAGCACGTAATTGTCAGACCTATCAAGGCAGTCAAACTCTGAGCATTAGGTAAAATAAGTACATGAGCGGCACCTCTAGAACTTTACAAATCCAGTTGATGTGCCAAGGCTTTAGTGCCAAATATCATTAATAATCACTATCAGGTGATACTGAAATTGAGTGAATTGGAAATGATCGTACTTACGTAGGCTGGGTTATTAGAGACGGAAGTCTTCATGGAAAGGTCACTATGACTGGTGGGATGCAGATAGCTTTCACCTATCAATGTGCCGCGAGAGCAATGGTTATGTAGAATCCATTGCCACTGTATTTTGTTACCGTGGAAGCCTGGGTTGATTGGTTGGGTTGCTCTTTTTACTCACCAGCAGTCACTCGCCGCTTTGAGACACAACAACAGTTTGGACACACACGTTGTGATATCTTGTCTTGGACACTCACGAACTTGGCTCAACAACCATGCTCGATAAATCAAACCACGATAGAAAACGTCATTAACGGCATACCATTGGCGCATGCCATGCCGAGAAACTACTAACATTGGCGTATGTCATCGTCGCCCTAGTCCGCTAAGAGCTAAATGGTAGAGTTTACAGGTTCCATATCGAACCCTCGAACCCACGAATTCTCAGGTATAAAGCCGGAGGCAAAATCGCTCAGGGTGCAGATGGGATAACCAAAAAGCTGTAATTGTTACTTTTCTAGCACATCCTGCGCGACCAATCTAATCCAAAATCCAGTTCAAAATGAAGTCTTCAGTACGAATCCTGGTGCTCGAAACCGATTACCCCCTCGCCCCCATCCACTCCACCAGAGGCAGCTACGGTGAGATATTCGGAAAGCTCTTTTCCAAAGTTGGCTCGGAACTCGACCCTCCAATCGACGTGGAAACAGTCCCATGCTACGTAGTTGGACACAAGGACCCCACATCTAAAGAAACGGGGGAATTGCCGGATATCAAAGAAGTCGGGGAATATGACGGTATTCTTATTACGGGAAGTAAATACGACGCCCATGGCGATGACCCCTGGATCCATAGGTTGATTGAATGGATTAGAAGTTAGTATTCAGTATCCACGTCCCAACTATTGTAGGCGCAGTCATTAACATCTGAATGCAGCTGCGTGGGAATCTCACCCCCATATACGCTTCTCCGGCGTCTGCTTTGGGCACCAGATAATATCCCGCTCCCTCGGGGCCCAGGTCTCACAGAACCCAAACAGCTGGGAGCTCGCACACACCCATATCTCGTTGACCCCACTGGGACAGGCCCTGTTCTCAACTAGAGACAAGGAGTCGATATATCTCCACCAAATGCACCAAGACCATGTCGTTGATCCGCCACATCATTCGACCTCTGATGGACTGTTGAAGGAGCACGACAAGGTGCATGTATGGGGTGAGAGTAAGGACTGTAAGATCCAAGGGCTTTACATACCGAAGCGGATATTCACCTCGCAGGGTCATTTGGGATACGACGAGGAGATGGTGAGGAGGAATATTGATGCAAGACACAAGAACGGATCGGTGGAGACGGAGCATGCAGAAGATGCAAAAGAGAGGGCGGGGATGGAGCATGATGGAGAGGTGGTTGCGGGGGCGATTTTGAGGTTCTTCAATGGTAGGGATGACCATATTGAATAGACAATAAATACCTGTGTATATATTTAAATGAAGGGTTTCTCTCCAACTGCCCTTGGTCCGTCTAATACTTAGACCGCTTGCGAAGGAAATTCACCGCAAACCACATATTCCACCATGTGGATGACCATCATCTTTAACACTCGTATATTCTGATCCATATCCTGGCAAAAAAGTAGGTAGTTGAGCAGCTAAGCATACTTGTAATTAACTCCAAAAACGGCCATAACGCTCCTATAAGAGAAAGATTAAAATTGTTATCTGGTCCTTTGGTCTACTTAGGTCGATTGGCTTGATATTGCTACATGTCCTAACAGGAGAAAGCCTTCGAGATATCCACTTGTTTCACTGTTAGATATTGAAAGGTCCAGACTTGATATGATGTATCCGCCATAGAAGCCGGGGCTTTTTCAATATCTCATTCAACCGATGACTTTTAGACATGAACCGCACAGCACAGCGCCGAAAAAAAAAACTTTTTTATTTCCCCAATATTCCCACCAGCAAGATGTTTTCCCCTTATTCCTCCTCCTCCTCTCTGATTGCCTCCTGTTCGGGCTCCTCGTCGAAGGTATTCAATGGGACCTCGTACAGCCTCAACACCGGCTTGTTCGGGTCCTTCACAAGGACATACTTGCCCTCTGGCATGTGCAAGCACATGTCCACAATCGTACGGACAATACCCCATCCATTGGACAAGTTCAAGTTCATTTGGTTCGCGAATTCACGAGGCTTGTATCCAACGACTCCAAGGATGACGTGCTTGTTCGAGTCCTTGGGGTTGGCACGTGATACGAATCTGGTCGCGGTGTCAATATACTCTTTGTTGAGAAGGAGAGATTGCAACATACCCAAGCTTCATCAGGTCGGCCTTGGCAAGAATGCTCTGTGCGGTCCATCTTGCGAGCTTGCAGGAGTTGTTCTTCATTTCGGTGGCTACAACAGCACCTCTCTGGGAGCTGAGCTTAGTGCGCCAGTTCAACGCACCACCACTGCCTTGTGCGCGGTCATCAAACTCGTTGAGGGCCTTGACGGTAAGGAAGAGGTCCTCGCCGCTGGGTGACTTCATGACTGCGTCAAGCTCGGTCCTGACGATAAGGAATACAGGCTCCTCGTCGTTCAATGACAAGTCAAAACGGCGGTACTTGTAGGCCTTTGAACCCAGGGGCTCGCTCTCTTCCTCGGGGCTATAAAATGGGTTCTCGTTGTCAAACTCGTATTTCGAGTCTTCGTTGACGGTCTGAATAGCGAAATTCTGGTTGATGAAGGTTGCTTCCATAGAGAGGGCCTGAGGAGAGTTAATCGAGTCCTTGTTACCTTCCGCTACCTCAAGTGGTGGGTCAGCGGCGTTCTCATTGACAGAGACGAAGTCGAGCTGGGAGCCCTCCCGTTTGTCGATGTAAAGCTTGTTTCCTTCACGGATGATAACAATGTCCCATGGGTAGATAGACCTAGGAGCACACATAAGCATAGAGAGGACTGAGTCGGTGGCGAAGATAGTGGCTTCGTCCTTCTCGGCAAGTTGCTGGATCACAGGGTCCTCGCTGGTGGTGGGGTTGAAGAAAACACGATCCTGAACGATGAGCTTCTTCTCTGCGGCCTTTGTGCCGGCAGGTTTGTCATACTGGCGGTCGTAGTAGTAAAGGAATCCGTAGCTATCCACATCTTCTCCTTCATCAGTTTCCAAGTTCAGCTTAGCCAAACGGTTGAAATCGATTTCCTCAAGCATCTTCCAATCTGGCTTGATATTGACCGAAGCATCACGATTACGCTGCGGCTTGTCGTAATCCTTCCAGCCAAATCGCCTCCCTCTGCCTCCACGACCTCCCCGGGCATCGAAGCGACCTTCGTCACGACCCCCACGACCTCCACGGGCACCATAACCACCCCGTCCTCCGGCCTGTTGTTGCGCTCCACCACGACCACCCGTCTGGCCAGCCGCACCGCGACCGCCACGGCCTCTGAAGATTGTACCACCGCCACGGCCGAAAGAACCTCTTGGCTTGCTGGAGGTACGCTGGTTATCAACAACGGAGAAAGAAGCTTCGTCCTCGGCGTGCTGGTATGAAAAGAGAGACGAGGTTCCAGCACCGTAGACCTGCTGATCTAAATTTGATTGTTAATAATGAAATTTGGTCGAGTAAGATGAAGTACCTAAATACCTCTGTAGTTTCTGTTATAGCCTCCACGTCCTCCTCGTTGATTTCCACCATCTTTGGTATTGTCGGAGGTCCAGTCGGCCATGCGGCCTAGTTTATCACCCTTGGAGTATGGTGCGTATGGTACCTCGTTTAATGAAGAATCGACATTTGACGGAGGTCCCCAAGCGCCAGTTTCGTGTTCTGGAAGGGCGGCGATGAGCGCCGATAGTTTGAAAGGCGCCATTTTGATTATTATTATCTATCTCTGTGGTGGTGGTGGTTGGTGATAATTATGCGCCCTATTTTTTTTCCTTTTGGTGGGGTTGTTCGTTTGTGGGGATTTGTGTGGGCAAGGTTTTTTGCATGGAGGGGTGCAGTGGTGAGCACAAACAGAGTCACAAGGGAAAAGTTACAGCTTATGAAAATATTCCCTCTAGATATTTCAATTCATCTATCCTATTATTATCTGACTGTTACTCTGAGGATGAATCTATCTTTGTATATATTTATACATTTAATTTCTTCTCTGCCTTCAGGCATTGCATTACACAGCGCCAAGCCAAACTAATCGAAGCTTTTGCTTTCGGCATCACGCTCTCACACCCCCACTACTCAACCCCCCACCGACCATCGCCGCTCCCATATCGCCGCAAAATGGTAGTAAAACTCCGTCTTGCCCGCTTCGGCGTTCGTCATGCTCCGGTCTACAACATTGTCGTCGCACATGCCCGGTACGTCTCCCCAGCCCCCCTACTGCTATCCTCCGACTAACATTACCAACTAGAACTGCACGCGACTCACGACCTCTCGAAGTTATTGGTAGCCAACCACTTTATCCCGCTGGTGGACGGAGAGCTAATAAGACATGAAAGGAACTTATGATCCTATTCCGAAACCCCCTGCAGACGGAATTGGTAGGCCAGTGAAGGACATACAACTCGACACTGCCCGAGCAAAATACTGGATCGGTGTTGGCGCACAGCCAACAGATACTGTGTGGCGCCTACTCGCTATGGTATGTTCTCGTCGGACGAAAGAGTATATAGGCGGTGGATAGCTTGGCAAATTGAAGGCTAATATAAGGCAATGGATAGTTTGGATTATTGGAGCCTAAGTGGCCAGTGGCAAGGATTCAACAAATGAATCCGGAGGCTGGACCCAAGGTTCCGAAGTCGCTGAAGCAGGCTAAGGCGGGGGCGACCCAGGCGTAAAGATAATTAGGATCAGTAAGTGTATATTATTAGACATTGAACATATTTGGGTCTTTTGTTATTTTATTTTTTGCCAGGTTTGTATTTAGGAAACAGCTGGAGTGCATTCAAGCAGTCTTCTGTGGATAATGGAGTTGGGCGACGAGGAAATGGTCCCTGCATGGGGTGTCAATGACTTTGGAAAGCTGTACCAGCGCTAGCTTTTAGGCCTAACACTGATCTGTGCATCACAGCAACTCACTCGTCGCTTGAGCACACAGTAATTGGTTCAACTCTTGTCTCCTACATCTGTTTCATGGATATATAATATGTGATCACAGATATATACCCTTCAATAAACCTTTTGAGAATCTATATAACGACTTGTTCCAAGAGCACTGATACAAGAAGCAACGGTCGAGTGACCATCAATGACGCCTCATGCGGCTCAAGATTGCCAAGCCACTTATCCCCCACTATGTAACCACCTCCGATAGGAATCCATCCCCGCCAATACCAAACACCTTTTTCGAGTCCACACCATCCAAAAATTCCACCATGGACTCCTCCTCGACCGCCCCCACAGACACCCCCGCAATGGCCGCTTCAGATACCTCCGCCACCAAAACCGCTCCGCCTGCAATCATTTGCATTGGCATGGCCGGTACCTCTCCCTCTTCTTTCTCGACCTAACCGCGAGCTGACCTCCCCCCGTAGGTTCTGGTAAAACCACGTTCATGCAACGCCTCAACGCCCACCTACATGCGCAGAAAACACCACCCTACATTGTCAACCTCGACCCAGCCGTCAAGAATGTCCCTTTCGAGCGCAACATCGACATCCGCGACTCGGTCAACTACAAAGAAGTCATGAAGCAGTACAACCTCGGCCCCAACGGCGGCATCATGACCTGCCTGAACCTCTTCGCAACCAAAGTCGACCAAGTCATTGGCATCCTCGAGAAGCGCAAGGATGCGGGCAGCATCGACTGCGTGCTCGTGGACACGCCTGGGCAGATCGAGTGCTTTGTCTGGTCCGCTTCCGGCGCCATAATAACAGATGCGTTAGCGTCAGCGTTTCCTACCGTCATTGCGTATATCATTGATACGCCAAGGACGACTTCCCCCGCAACGTTTATGAGCAATATGCTGTATGCGTGCTCGATCCTGTATAAGACGAAGCTGCCGATGATCTTGGTGTTCAATAAGACAGATGCGCAGGATGCAGCATTTGCGAAGGAATGGATGACGGACTTCGAGGCATTTCAGAGGGCGCTAAGAGAGAGCGAGGAGGGCAATGATGAGGGTGTGGGTGGGAGTGGCTATATGGCTAGTCTACTCAATTCCATGAGCTTGATGCTCGATGAGTTCTACAAGCACCTAGACCTCGTAGCAGTGAGTGCGATGACAGGAGCCGGGATCGAGGACTTCATGGTGGCTGTAAAAGGCAAATGTGAAGAATACGAAAGAGACTACAGGCCGGAGATGGAGAAGGCTAGGAAGAAGAGGGATGAGCAGAGGATCAAAGAGAAGGAGAAGGAGCTCGATAGGCTCATGAAAGACATGGACGTCGACGGAGGTGTGAGCAGCAAGAGTGGTAGGAAGAAGTCCATGCCCAAAGAAGAGGAGGAGCAGGATCTTCTCAGCGATATGGAGTCAAGCGACGAGGAAGCTGGCCAGGGCATGCAGGAGAGGGACGAGGATGAGGGGGCCATGGATGAGGATGAAGAGGGACTACAGGGGAGATATGAACGTGAGCTGAGGGAGAAAGGAGGGACTGATGCTGGTGTCTTGCAGGATGCGAGTCTGAGAAGGTATCTGGGTGCTAATCAGATGTAATTTGTTTCCTTATTCCCTGGTCACTGATATTGACGCTGTAATTTCCTAGTTCATGTACCATAGTTATCATAAATAAAGCGAAGATCTTAACAATTGTTACTACATAGGGGTGTCGATCTAGCAAAACCGTCCGCACAGCCAAATCCTTATTCTGAAGAACCATACAACAGATAAACTCCAAATCTTCCTAAAGCTCAGAGAACCTTGGTGAGGGCCCAGAATTAATTTTCCAACCATTTGTCCCATCAATTAGAGGCTGTACAGTGCGGTAGCGAACTGGTGAGGCCTCGTTGCGTTGCCACGCAGGTACCTTTTACTAGATCGACACCCATATCATAATAAGCTCATGAGCCGCTATTGATATTCTCATGGCTAGTATACGGAGTAAAAAGAAAAGGCGATAACTAACTATATAACAAGAAAGAGCATCCCAGAAGAAACACACAACGCCATAAAAGTTACTAACAAAAAGAAAGAAAACGCCCAACACTACGCTAACATCGGTACAGGTCCCGCCGCCAACTCCTCTCTTCTCTCCCTTGCCCTCTCTTTCGCTCTCCTAGCTCTCCTCTGCGCTTCTGTTTCCCCTTCTTCCCCTTCTTCTTGCTCCTTGGTTGCAGCGACTGGTGCAGTAGTTGGCGCATTCGGCATCTGCGCCGCCATGCTTTTCGCCCTCTCTTCCCTCTCCATCTGCTCTAGCTCATCTTCGACTTCATCTTCCTCCTCGTTGGACATCCGGCCCGCCAGCATATTGCTAATCTCCCGCTGGTATGCGATGCCGTCTGCTGTTTCTTCCATTAACTTCTCGACACTCTCCAAGGACATCTCCTTATGGATTTCTTTGAGTACTTGGTTCCCTTGCCGGAGCCCATAGAGCACAGATTTCTGCACGAGCGAGAACTCGATCGTCGATGTCTACAACCAACATTAGAACCAGCCCTCTCTCCTTACAAGCACCACAACCATAACCGCAGCACATATCAGGGGGCCGAACCAGCTCTTCCAGCGCCTGCAGCTGTCCATCCGTCTTGATCAACAACTGTTCTTGGTACTTCCTTTTCCTAAGTGCCAACAGCGCGCGCTGTTTGTCGCCCTTTGCGAGCATCTCCTTTGCAATCTCGTGCTCGCGGTCCAGCACGGTCTGGATCTTCTTCTGGTACTGGCGTAGCTTGTCACGTTGGATCTTCATGTCCAGGATTGCCCTGGTGTAGTCGGCGTGTTAGCGGGAGAGGAGGGGGGAGGAAGGGATGAGGGGGTGTACCGGTCTTGTGCGGTGACGCGGTGGGTGCTGCCGTTGTTCCCCATGGCTGGATATGAGTGTGGTGGGGTATGGGCGAGGGCGAGAGCTATCTGGGGGCTTGCTTGCCTGGGGCGAATAGGTCCAGGTCTAGGCCAAGAGCCGCATAATGCATGATGTAGTGGGCCGGGTAACAGTGGATCATGAGATCTCACTCTTGCCATACTAGCTTGCGCAATTGCTGTTTCGCTGCTTTTTTTTTTTTGTTTAATTCATTAATTCTGTTTCGCTGCTTTAAGCTTAGCCTGGAGATAAAAGAACATGTAGGCTAATTGGGCATGTTTGATTTATGGATGGATAGATAGGATAAACCGCTAACGTTCACCTCCCAGGAACTTTCGCTCGGAATCAGTTGCGTATACGTCAACGACGCAATAATACGACCCGTTGTGTCTTGTTGATCAATTGAGAACCGATAGCCTTCGGAACAAGCGCTATCTCCCTCTCAGCTGAGCCAGAACAGGGAAACCCATGTGGGTCTTTGCAGTGTTAGTCTAGAGTATAAACACCTTCCTCAAATCCTGGCGGACCGCAAAACCACTAGTACGTAGTGTCATGATCAGCCGCTCACCGTACGAGTATATAGGGGATAGTAATGTGAGTATTTCGGCTATGAAGATATTAAGCCCACTGTCTCCTATCATCCATAAAATCATCGATGATGTTGGTCGAGCATTGCCTGATATTTGCATCCCAAAGTCGGGCCGGATCATTGAACCCAAGGCTCCGTGCAATTCAAGAAAGAAATTTAAAGGTTATTCAGCGCTTTCATGAATCATCCCGACGTGCGATTCCAAAAGGCAACCCCAATCTATATACAAATAACAAGAACCTTCGATAACCCTAGCCTTCTCTACCAGACATGTAAATGCATCATTTAATGCATCTTTTTTTCGGTGAGGTAATGGATATTTTTTTTGTATGGGTAACTCGTCGGAAAGTCGTACTTAAAATGTGTTACTTTTAATATGCCTGGAAATATATCAATAATGGATCAAACAATGAATCTTTTAATGTATCAATTAATGCATCAATTGATGCATTTAAAATACACATTTACTTGTTTTCCATATCAGTAATAAAAACAAAAAGGGAACGCTGGGGGATTTGAACTAGAGTCAATCTCTCAACTACTCAATCTTCTATCTACTACACCATAGGTGAAGATGGTGTCTCATCAATTGTAGGATTAATGGATGGAGGGTAATGGGAAAGTACATTAAAATTTCGTTGATTGCTCGATCGTCTAAAATGAATATCAAAGTCGTATGTGATACAAATGTGTAAAATAAGGACTTATAAGTCGTCCATTAATCGTTTTAAAATCGTTTCCCAAGAAATAATGCATCAGTTGATGCATTTACAAATAAAGTCCGAGTTAATGCATCATTTGTGCCCTTTCCTCGTCGGTTTTGTATGGGCAATGTGTAAATTGATGCATTAACATGTCTGGTAGAGTGTTCAGACCCTTGAGAAATATATTAGCTTCAGATTCAACTATAATGTATAAAGAGTACCCCAGGAAATATTTTATCAGAATGGTAATAGGATGAAACACATTTCTCTTTTTTGTTAAAAGAAAAAATGTTAAATCCCCTCTGAACATACCATTCCCATCCCGGAAGCTCATCATGTCTAGGTCTCCAAAGCTATCTGTTGTAACTATATATTGGACAATTCACCTTCGCTTGAGTGGGCACCCATTATTTCTTGGATGCGCTTAACAACTGTCTTATATCCAATATCTTCCTGGTGCTCGAATTTACAGATCGACATGTGATCCCTATCTAGTGGGTCACGTTTCTCGCCAAGAACGCCCAGGGTTGAAGATAGTTGATCCATCAGCTAGCAAGTTGACAATTTATTAGAGCTCAATGTCTTAATACTAGTTGGAAGGGTCTATGCCAACGTACCAATTTACTCCCATACAAAAATCCCCAAAACCCACCAAAAAGGGTAGTTTTTCTTGTCTCATAAAACGAGGCGAATAAAATCGAGAAATGGTACTTGATAAAATCCTCAGCTATCTCAGTAAGACGATCTGAGTTCTGTTCGAGGTCCGAGATGAGTTTCCGGTTTAAACCCTGGATTGCTGCAAACACGCCCATGATCGCTCCATATTGTGCAAGTGAGGTCCCTTGGTGCGGTGTAGACAAAAACACGATACCTATTGTTGGGCTAATAATGTCTTGCTAATTATGCACCCTGGCCCTATTTAGGGCCTTATATATGAGAAATCGATGTGTTTAGCGCATTTACTTGTGCTAAGGCATAAACCAATACATGTGATGAATGCACCATACCTCCTTTACAACTATACCTCCCAGACTGTGGCATATGAATATGATCGGTCTCTCCTTTTCCTGGGTAAATATAAATGTTAGATAATTATAATATATAAATACTATATCTATTCTACGATGAGAATCAAAAGCTACCTTCGACGTGGTCCTCATGTCATTGATAATATTAAGTAGCGATGAACCGTAAGACCGGATGCCCGCGACACTGTCTGTGTCGGTAATGTTTGAATTATATCCGTAGGTCATGATGCGGGATTGCGGGATCTCATCCGGGAGAAAATCGCGGAGCCACATGGCGCCAGCACCATTACTCCCCGGGCCCCTGAATGTCCAAGAACCAAATGCATGACCTCCAAGCGCCCCATGAACCGCGATTATGCTACGCATAAGATAAGAAGTTAGATTTACTGGATTCGATAATTATAACGGGTAGAGGAATGGATACGCAACTCAACGCAAGAATTGGGGTCCGAATGCGCATATGCAAAACCGTCAGCGCATCAAAGTCATCATCAACTACAACCATCTTTTTGTCGATAATGAGTGGTTTGTTTCGGATTATATCCTTCACAACGCTTTCATCCTTGAAGGTTACTGTAGCGGTCTGAGTTTTGTCTTCTTCCCTAAACCCGGTTCTGCATAAGGATATAGTGCAGTCTGGATATAACTTAGAAAGGTAATCCTTAGTAATTGTTTCCGGAATCCTTCTGATTCGTAGAGTCGACCTACTGAAGATCTTTGTGTTGTTTGGGGAACAGCGAGAAAGAGCTAGGGAGATGATTTTGGGAAGTTTATTATATCGAGGCACCGTCAAGTGGGTGAGTTCTATATATAGCTAGCTCCGATCTTTTGTATCAGAGCTCTATCCCTAAACGCGCGCATGCGCGCGCCTAGGTCAGGTGAGGTTGTGCAAAAAGATTCCTTCTGGACGCTCTGATTGGTAGCTATGTACACCCGCGGGAAAAAAGTGAGGAAACAACGAATGCAACCAATCCGAATCCCAATGAAAAAGTGAAAATAGAAATGAACAGAAGTAATAGAACTACACAATGAGATACAGAATAGATACTACGGCCTCTGAACTATATTTACCACTTTTTATGACTTCCCTTATTCTTTACTACCGCTGCAATTCTCTTTGGTATGCTGTCAATGATTTTATATACATTTTCTCAATCTGGCCTTTCCCACTCTTCCCTAGCTTGGGCTTAAATAACTTTTATGTTTTCATTCAGAGTAGCCTCTCTTCGCTTTCCGGACTTGTCAAAGGGCATGGCTAGGGAATACTCGTGGGGCTGTATTGCGGGTGCGGGGATGTCAAGTTGGACGCACTCGTTGTCACGCTACTCGTTGTTTCCTCACTTTTTTCCTGCGGGTGTACCGGGCGTTGAGGGTAAATACGAAGAATCTGATAAGAGAATCTTGCTGTGAAATAGGTGTGTTTATCTTATCAGATTCTCGGTATTTATGGTTAACCCCCGGTACATGGATCAGGCCTGTAATCTATTCCTTGAACCGTCAGGCCGAATTGTAATTAGCGGAACCTAACGCAAAGTAGAAATCGTGATATAAGGCACGCCTGTAGGAGCAGCAATGACAGAAACCATCACAGAGCTCGTGTGTGATGAATTATACGTTGCAAGACAGACATACATATAAATCTTGCGTTTACCATATCACGATTTCCATTTTGCGTTAGGTTCCGCTAATTACAGTTCGGCCTGACGGTTCAAGGGATAGGTGAAGCCCGAGATACTTGGCGGTGAGTGTAACAGTGGCTTCTATAACTGCATGCCTTGTACTACTTAAGGTACCATGTTAATCATAGTATCTTAGCTGCACGAGTTGAACAGAAAGTCGAGCACTTCGACAAAAGGTCCTGCACATCTTATTGGCTGAACGACTGCAAGTCTCTCCTAGAAGAGCTAGAGTTTCTGTCCGACCCGCTCGACTTTCTGTTCAACTAGGTAGCGCAGCTAAAAGACTCTATTACCTACATAAACGTATATAGATTCTTGGGACTGATCAGCGCCAACAATAGAGGTACAGATTTCAAAAACTCCAAGAGTAAGAACAAATCCAAGGGACGGCGCCTTGTGAAAAACGCGTTCTTAGTTCTCTAAAACCCAGTATTCCCAAACAAAAACAACAAAGGCTGGAACTCGAACCGCTTCCCGTTTTTGTAGAATTGTTGTGAAATATCAATAATAAGATCTATTAACATGGTCTCATGATCATTGACACTGTAACTACGTCAGAAAAAAGTATGTGAAACAAGACACAAAACACAAGACGAAACTCAAACATAGCCAGCTCACATTCAGTCCATTCAGCTACATATGTAGTAAGCCATTCACTCGATCCTCCATCCCCGAATTAAAAAAAATCCAGAAGTCCACTCCCACAAAAAAACAAGAATCATCGCGGTCAATAGAAAAAAACTAAGAAAGGAGAAAAAAAAAATAATGAAAATAAAAAGAACAAAAGGAAAAAAGAAAAAGAAGCTTTCCGCGCAGCTCTACCCTAAAAACAATCATCATCCCCCTTCTCATGCGCACACAGCACACACCCCTTAGACACCTTCTGCCGAATCAGCGCCGCATGTGTGACCTTCGACCCCACATTGCGACTCGCCATGCCTAAGCTTGCCATAATCTCCTCCTCAGCCTCATCTACCTCATCACCGACTGCAGCAGGGCGCTCCCGCTCCCGCTCGTGCCCGTGCCCGAGCAGACAGCCGAGGTGAAAGACGTGACCACATGCGAAGCCGATCAGCGTTTCTTTTTCTACATCGTCACACCATTAGCATGCTAGTCCAAGAAGGAGGAAAGGGATATACAAACCAGTAGGTAAGAACACATCCCCGCAATCACCACACGCATCCACACGCCTCTTCTGTGGCCTCTCCTCGCCGCCACCTTCCTCTATCTCCACATCCCTCTTAACCTCGAACCTGACAGCCCTCCTTTGCCCTCCACGTAGCTCTTCCATGCCCCTAGCCACCTCGCTGCGCAGGACCTTTGCAACTCCCTCACACACGCTCCACTGGACGCCATACTCCTTGAGTATCTTTCCTAGTGCCGGCTTCAGCCCCTCAATCTCCAGACCGGCGGGTATACGTCGCACCAGTGTGATCGGGTCGATGGCAGTGCCGACATTCTCTAGCAGCCCCCGAATAAAGCGAGGTTTGTCCATGCTATACTCGAGCAAGTCATTCCAGAGGTCGGGGTCGTCTTGATTCTTTGCGAATGCAATAGCCTGACCGACGTCATGGAGCTTGTCAATAATGAGGAAGAGTGCACGCTTTGTCTGTCCGGTCTTGGAAAGCAGGTGAACCAGCTCCGGAATATAGGCACGCTTCTCACACACAGCGGAGGCCTTTTCCAGGCTGTAAGTGTGACTGTTGACTAAGAAGTCCATCAACAATGGGCGGTCGTACTCGGCGAACAGCGTGACCATCAGGTCCCCGAACTCGACGAGGGTGCCTGCGGCGCTGTCACTGCCACTCCAGAGGCGGCGGAGGTAGAAGAAGAGGAAGAGTTTCCCCGCGCGGACGGAGTCTGGCGAGAGCTGAGAGACGACTGTGGATGGGCCTACAATACCACGGTTGGCCTCGGCAACCAGGAGGGAGATAGCTTCAGAGGTGTTTTCTTCGAGGGTGGAAATAGGGGTAGTGGAGAGTTGTTCGGGGGATACGCGCAGCAATAGGAGATCGTAGATATTCGTTTTGATGGCGTCGATGAGGCGGTATTCACGGATGAGGGAGAAGGCCGCATCTGCGTCTTTCAGGATCATGTAGTGGCGTAATGCGCTCGCGGGCTCCAATATCGTCATGTAGAGCTTTGCGAGGCATTCTTGCAAGGCGCGCCATTCGGCGTCACCGGAGTGCACGGAGTCCTCATGGTTCTTGAGCTTGCGCGTGACGGCGTCAATGATCGTGCGAGGGTCGTAAAGTGTTCGTGTACCTTCAGGCTTCCAGTTCTCCAGTAGCAACTCCCGGAACCTGGTGACATCGTGCGAGAGATAATGCGCGAGAACAATCTCATAGATGACACTTGGCAGCGGCGGTGACAGCGGCGTAGTTGGTATATACGGCGTAATCTCCGTGATATTTCCCGCGGCCTCAAACACCCATACCCAGTGCTCCCAACGTCCCGATAAACCCAAAACCTTCCCGCATACCTCGGCTGATGCCGTCCACTCGCCAGCATTAATCAGCTTCTGTAGCCACAACTCTCCAATACGGCGCTTCTCCTTCTCCGTGGCGCTGTAGTTCGTCGTGCGCCGTTGCCCGCGCCCGCCGCTGACGGTTGAGTCGGAGTCGTAGCTGGGATCGTCCTCGGAGACCACACGGCGCACGACCTCGTCCTCTCCGGACTCGCTAATGGCACTGCTATCCGATGCGATCACGTCTGGGTTCCTGTCTACGAGTTCCCAAGCGTCTTGATATTTCTCTTTCTCAAGGAGCCAGCCCAAATGGTCTCTTAGGCTGCGCTCAGTTGCAAACACCACATCGTAGGGACTTGTGATATAGATCTTTTTTCCGGGGAATTCTTCGCCCCAACCGTTATCCTCTACCTTTACTACGCGCCCGGCCACTGGGGGTCCGCGCCCGATACCCATACCGATGAATGAGGAGGCGCTGAAGCTTTCCCGACGAGAGACACTGGTGCTGAAGCTGCGGACACTGGTCGCGCTGGAGAGAATCTGGGTTGCGTTTACGCCCGCGTTCCAGAGGCCGCCTGCGAGCGCTATAGCACCGGAGAAGTCGTTATTTTCGTCGGTTGGGGCTGTTAGGAGTGGGGCAGGCGTCGCGGGGAGAACACCAAGGTGGTAGTCGCCGGCGGAGAGCCCTTCGAATCGGTTCATCATGAGCTCATCGGCAGAGAGCTCTTCAGAAGTATTGAGGTCTATGAAACGGAGCTCGGGGGTCAGGGCGTTGGAGCGGCCGCGGCGGGCGTGAGGGCCGATTTTAGCAGAAGAGGGTTCTGACGGAGGAGTACTGGGCGGAGAGGCGTTGGAGGTGAGATGTGCGAGAAGAAGGAGAAGTGAGGGCGTGTATAGAGTAAGGCCGGAGATTGTACAATCGGTTTGTAAACTGTAAATAATAGTTAGTACCGTGATGTTCTGTGAATAAAAAGGTCAATGATAGAAACCCACATATGCACAATTTCTGCCCATCCAGCGCTCCGTTCTTCTTCCTCGCTGTTGCTATCGCCCGCAAATACATCTACAACCCAGATTGTACCTCCCCAACCAATGACTAGCTTCTCTTTCTGGCCCCAGTCAATGCCTAGCGAAGGCTTTCCTTTGACCGCTGTAGGACTAACGTCGTCGGCCGTGCTGTGCGTGCCTAGTCCGTCCATATCGTCCTCAGCCAGATTCCTGCGATCAATCCATTCGAGTCTGGGTTTATAAACCGCAGCCATATCCTCCGGGATAGTTTCCGGGCGCTCAATCGCCGAAATACGCTTCCATGCCACATCGCCGACAGGCTTCCCAGTGACTCCCAAACCCGGAATCCAGCTCGTCATACCCGGATATCCAGCCGTAATCAGACCATTGGCTATACCAACCACATCTCCTAATCCGGCTGCCGCAGCGGCCGCGGCTCCTGTGCCCGCCCCTGTTGCTGTCCCCTCTTCAGGCGCCTCCTTTTTGATCTCCGGGGGGATGATATGTGAGCGCATCAGCTTAATACCACGCTCATTGGCCCACGCGACAAACCGCGGCGACTCTTTGCTCCACGCAATTGCGCTGATCGCGCCCTCTCCCGAGTGCAGAATCGTATCCTTTCCACTACCGCCGCCAAGTCCCATCCACCCGCCGCCGCCGCCGGCCGGGGGCGCGACGCTAAGGATAAGGTTCCCAGCGAGACCGCCCGAGAGGAAAGTCCGATCTGTGCGGAAGTTGGGCGAGAGGGACACAGCAGTGATCGGTCGCTTGAAGTTCTTGAGGATGATTTCGGATTTGGCGTAGGGGGTGGTTGTAGGATTTGAGCCCGGGTTAGCTGGGAGGAGCGGGACAATGCATACGAGTCCATCAATGGAGGCTGTTGCGACATGTGTGTGCCGGTCGTGTGTTGGTGGGATCTGGGCGCGGATGTTGGGTGGGAGGGGGGGTGGAGGAGGTGGGGATATCGAGACACTTGTTATGGAGGCGGAGTGAGCGTGGTAGACGCGGAGGGTCGAGAGCGATGGAAGTGTTAAGATATGCTAGAGGGTGTCAATAGTCGGCCTGGACAGGTGATGAGGGCGGGCAGGTATAAATGCTCACAATATTTCCGTTATGCGTGCCTGTTATCTATTGCGCACGGGTTAGAGATTGCGCTCGCGAAGCTCCAAACGTCAATGTGACATATCGTTGATGCGGTCATACCATTCTCTCTCCAAAAACCACACTGGCCGAGACCGCATCACCATTCCTATACACGCCACCGAGGTTTCTGGTCAAGCGCGTATACTTAAGTCTTGGCTCTTCTTCCTCGTCATCGCTTTCTTGGTCCTCCTCCTCCTCTTCAGTGGGTAACCTATTCTGCGCCTCCTGCTCTCTCTGGGTGTCTGCGGACGCCATTGCTGTTTTGTGTTTGTTGGGTTGTGAGACGATTTGTTGTGTTTATCGAAGCTCTCACAAGCTATGATGCGTTGGCCGTGGAGTTGCGGCTCTACAACATGATAGAGCTTCTGTCACACCCACGAGGTTAGTCCGGGGGTGGGTGTAGTGTAGTGGCACGGGATTTTGTCACTGATTGGCGGGATAGCCGAGGGGGCTAGTTACCCGGTTGGCGTAGCCCAGAGCCCGTTACCCGGGGTGGACGTTGGGCGCTTGGGCCATGTGGCGCCCAGGATGGGGGTAATGATAGGAGTGCAGGATTTTGGCGAGGTGCGTACTGGCGCTCTCGATAAGCCCGACGCCTAGCCACGGTTAAGTAGAGAGCAAGCATTCAGTCAGTTTCTATGATGGTTAACCGCACTTACATGCATTGCGATGTATCTGCTCTATGTAGGCCCTGCGCCGCTGCTATGGCCCACACGCACGCCACGCTAGCTAGCTATAGCCCGGCCGGGAATAAACTTCAAAATGCAATCTAGCCATCGTGCGGGCAATACTACATGTACATGTAGAGGACATTGAGAACATGTAAATACATCTATTTCTCCATGTTCCAAAATCAAGAACACATTACTTTCTCACCTTCAATTAATGACCTTAGACCTAGAGTGTCAAGCATGCAGACGGGTAAGGAAATACCCTTAAGCAATCGACTCTGCGCATGCCCACGACCCGTCACATTCTTCTGAGGTTAAGCATGATTTTATACATAGACTGATATACGTATGCTCGGTTACATCTTCATTAGACTGCACTCTTTCGTTATCTCTTCTACATTGAGTACACCGATCGAAAGTCGTAAGCGTACATGACATCGAACTAACTTGTAGTCACCCTATACATATACTCATGGTGCGAGGTACATGTAGCTTTGTTCTTTGATCTGTCTTAGGAATGAATTAATTAAGATGCTGGCGAGATTAAGTCAAGACGAGCTTCTTAGTGTGGCAAAGTGCACGTGAGTCTGACATCCGGCTTGAGCTTCTGTACATGTATTCATATCACTACTTTCATGACGTGCTCCCACTACCGTCCACAGGTCCCCTCTACCAGTAGCGTGGGTCTGTTATAGATTACGGCTACGTACACTCAGCGTCTATCATGCTTGAGAAACTTTGTAAACTAGTACACGTACGCAGTGTGGCTAGGGCCCACACTAGAATGTGCGGGTAAGCTAAGCTCAAGTTACACAGTTTACAATCTAGTTCTAGCTGTGCTGAAAACGCTCCCGAAAATCACCATAGCTTCTTGCCCTATAACAGTCACCCGTTATTAGGGCTATAAGTACACAGTCCGGATCCCCACAGTACTTCTTTCGCTTCTTCCTCATACCCATCCCAATGCTGCTCATCACTAGCATCCCATCCATGATTAAGAATCATTATCACCAATTGCCAATGAATCACTTCTCCTTCCCGCCTTTTAATGTCTTACTCTCCTGCTCCATTACTTCATCTCTCAACTTCATCCCCCTTCTTCTTAAATTTCGTAACAAGTTAGTTCAGAATTCCAACCATTGAAAGTCACCACTAAAAGCAACCAATCATCATAGCACCAATTCATTATGCACGAACTCCCCTCTTACTTTTGCTCTACCTCCAATACTTTTCAATCTATTTCTCCAGCATCAATCATTCATCTCCACCCGATCATCTAATGACTTGCTCCTCCCCCTATTCGCCCTAAAGTGCTACAACCTACTACTAACTCTCACTCCAGATTTACACCCTACTTCCCACCCTCTTTTGTGGCTCCAACGAAAACCACCTTGGGATCGTTGGTGCCAGTCATCGAATGATATTCGATGACTCAGTTGAGTCGTCGACTATTGTACGACGAGTGGCACTAAGGATTGCCAAGGTGCTTTCATGTATCCTTTAATTCTTTGCCATTGAGGGTTATAATACTTTGTGGTGATGGTAGATTTTGCAATTTGCCTTGCTGTGGTGGCAATCAACGAGAGGAGGTGCGCGCTAGTATTTACAAACACCAAAAGCTAGTACAGTACTTGATGAGTGGGAACAGATCAAAAATGGTGGACGGAATATTAGTGGTTGATGGACTTGGATGGTCGGGGGACTCAAGACCTATGCGAAAGAGCACCGGAATGGATAAAAGGCGCTTTATGTGATATCACCAACATAACATGTCACTCTGTGGCCCTCCATCCGACACCCATCCCTTTCAACCCTTACACAAAACGCATCACGACTTCTAAAGCTCACGGACACCATATCTGCAACACATTTTATTCCGCCTCGGTCTCCGCCTCCACCATCACTACCACCTCCCTACTACATACATACATATACTCAAAAACCCCTAATCCAGCGCTTATTTCACCGCCACAACAACAACCGACCAAGCCGGCAAGGAGATCGTGAACTTACCCCCGCTGCCCGTAATCGCTGTTGTAACCGGCACCACTACCGCGTTCTTTGGCAGATTAATCGAGTCGGACGCCGGTCCCGTCAACGTCGTGACCGACCCTGCAGTGGCTCCCGGGATCGTGATGGTCGTGGAGACCGCGGTGGCCCCGTAGTTGGCCATCTTGACGTAGTAGGTGCCGGTGTTGTCGTTCTTGGACGCGACCCAGTAGGCTATTGATATGCATTAGCAAACTGGCTATAAGAAAAAGATGTAATTAAAGAAGGGTATGTTGCGTACCAGGCCCAAAGCCAGTGTCTGAGGTGACGGGGAGGATCGTGGTCCCGCGGTTGACGGAAAACATCTGTATTTGGGTGTTAGTCGGGGTTAGGGTTGGTCATCGAGTGATGCCCTGTGAAGGGTGAGACGAACCTGTTGAACGTAGTAGCTGGTGGAGAGGGTGAGGAAACTGGGGTCGGATGTGTATCCAATGAGATCAGGCTACAGAGCGGGATTAGCTGTTGCTACTACTACTATTGGGAAAGGGGGATCGGGCTTACCGCCCACTGCGTGGAGTTAAAATGCTGCATCAGCGGCGCATAGGCCGCCATCTTGACCACATCACTGTTGCGCTCCATACCAATCATGAACACGGCCTCGGACACGGCGCCGATGAGTGTTGCCCACCAGTTTCTGCCGCCGGCGTTTGACGTTGTGCAGGCGTACTCGCCGACAAAGATGCCGTAGTTGCGGTCGTAGTTGTCGTATGTGTTGAAGAGGGCGACGAACTGGTCGGGGCGGAGATAGTAGTGGATGTCGATCCACATGCCGGCGGGCTTGGGGCTTGGCAGACCCTGGTCTGTGCTGGCGATGATGATGATGTCGGGGTACTTTGCCTTGATGGCGTCATGGAAGGCGGTGAAGCGGGCGGCGTAGCTGGCGAGACCGCCTGCAATGAAGTCTTCATTGCCGATCTCGACGTGGGTTAGTGCGAAGGGCTCGGTGCGGCCGTGGCTGGCGCGGAGGGCGCCGTAGGTGGTGCTGGTAGAGCCGGTGATGTACTGGGGGTGGGTTTGTTAGTAGGAGAGTGGGTGAGGGGGTGAGGGTGAGATAGCTACCTCGATTTCGTTGAGAACGTCGGTGATGTAGGGCGTAAGGGCAGTACCGGTGACAACGCCGCCGCCGAGACTGAGACCGGCCCAGACACCGAGGACGGGGATGAGCTTCATGTCTTCGCACCAATAGAGGTACTCGAGGAGGCCGAGAGCATCGGTATTGGCATAGGACCAATCGCCTGGTGGTGAACATGTTAATATATAGTAAAAGTACACATTTTCTGAAATCACTAACCTTGACGGCCGGGTCTGGTGTGGACGGGTCCAATGGTCTCGTTCCACTTCCATCTTCTGTCGACAGTTGCACCTTCGCTGTAATTCAGTTAGTATTTATTTCAGAGTGATTTCTGCAGGATATTGAGTAATCGTACAGATTGTTACCACCTAAAGACACAGATAGTATGTCAGCAATAATATCCCAAGAAACTCAATCAGAGTGAAAAATCAATATCCACAAGCACCTACCGGGAAACCTCAAGAAAGACCCCTTCACATTCTCCAACGCCCCCGCAATATCGGGCTTCAGCCCATTGTACCTCTGGTGATACGTGACAGGGAAGAGCTGGAACAGGTTAAAGTAGATACTCCCTGATACCTTCGCCGCATCAACCGTAGCCACAAAGATATTATCACCATCCGGTGCCGCGCTCGCCGTGAATGTCGTCTCATAGTACTTCCATGTTCCAGCCACGCTCGTGACTGCAACAGCCTTAGTACCAAACACCGTTCCCGTTGCCACAGACTGTAGCTTCACTGTCACGTCCCCGGTGTAGGCGCCCTCGACCCAGAAGTAACATGCGTAGGTGTCCTTCTTGACGGGGATACCCCAGTAGCCGGCGTTGGAGAAGCCAACCTGGCCGGTGGTGCCAGAGGGCACGTCAATGCGCAGGACTTTGGGGAGGGCCGAGGAGAGAGGGTGGGCGGTGTCGACAGCGAGAGTGACGCTGCCGACGGCAGCGTAGGCGGTGAGGTCGGCGGTGGTGCCTTGGAAACCGTTGTTGCGGAGGAGCTGTCCGTGGATGCCGCCGTCACCGGAGTGGTTGATGTCCTGTAGTTCGTTAGTATGTTAATTGATGAGTGGGAAAGTAGTGGCGGGGGTAGACCGACCTCGAACATGAATCCGTAGAGGATAGGACTGGAGGCATTACCACCCGTGGTGGAGACAGTGAGACCAAGACTGTGGACGAGGGTGGGGAGGGCGGCAAGGCCCATGAGGAGCTTGAAAGCTTTAGTGAAGCCCATTTTGGAAAGCTGGTTTACTTGTTCAGTTTCTGGACTAAGATGCTGCTGAAGCTTGCTTGGACCGAATCCAATAACGGGGCCGCTGGGTTGAGTATTTATAAGGTCGAATGCCATTGCCATATGATATCCACCCGGGCCTTCCCCCATTTCATTCGACTTCCCCTGGAGCCATTGCTATGCTAGCTAGGTACCCCGCAAAGCATAAAGCAAGGCCCGGCTGAGTTACTCCCGAAGTTG